CATTCCCTGGGGACCTTGCTGCTCCATTCCCTTGCTGTTCCGCTGCACTCCCCCAGTGCTTTGCTTCAATGTGGTGGGATCAGATCGGGTGCAATTCCCACACTGTGTCTCTGGTGTTGTCCACCGCAGGGCCATGGGTCAGTGAGGGGCATCATGTCTCATAGTGGGGCTGGCCATGTGGTCCTCTCTGTGTCTGGCTGTTCTATTTGGGGTCATCATCCTCAAGGCCTGGTGGGCCAGGATGTGCTCCAGTCTCTCCTCCTCCCCCGTCATCTGCAACCGGTTTGTTGTTTTTTTTAAGGGATTCTGTCTCTGAAAGAAAATCTGACAGAGCAAGGATCATATAACTGACCTGCAGGCCCAATCCAGCCCACTGCCCAGCTCTGTCATTAAAGTTTTATTGGGACCCAGCCACGCCCGCTCATGCACGTATCGGCAGTGGGTTCAGTGGCGGAGGGGCGGTGACTTGCAGAGCCTAAAACGCTTGCATCTCGCCTCTCACAGAAAAAGTTTACCAATGTATTGTGGCATAGTAGGTTCTTAGTTGGACTACTAACTGCAGTGTCAGCAGTGTGAAACCACCAGCTGCTCTGCTGGAGAAAGATGAGGCTTTCTCCTGTAAACAGCTACAATCTCAGAAACCCATAGGAGCAGGTCTCCTCGGCCCTGGAGGGTCAGTGTGAGTCGGACTCAACCTAATGGCAGTTAGTTTGTTGTGTTTTTGTTTGCTGGACAGAAGCTTGGTCATGGCTAGGCCAGGCCTCTAATGCTATGGTGGGAGAGCACTGTCCGGATCGATTCTACTTGGTACCAAACGTGACTGGACATTTCTGGGTATCGGAGTGTAGGGCAGGGAACCAGCCATCCCTGTTTAGCCTTGCATGAGAATTTGTGCCCCCGGACCCTGTTCAGTCGGAGTCAGTGGTGCTTCAGAGAAAGTGGCTGAGTCCCCATAAAGCTGCCCTTTGCCGGTCCCCAGCCATAGGGCATTTGCTTGCCTTCTTACTTCTAGACAGAGAGAGAGAGGCCGCTTTGGCTTCGTGTCACTCCCACTTTGGGAAGTGTTTATTAGCCCTTGGCAGAACTGTCTGGAGTTGCTATTTGATCAAGAAACTGCAGCGTTTCTGTTAACCCCATCCCTTTTCATTTCCTTAGCCCGATCTGTGCTTTCTGCTGGTATCTGGCCGGACAGGGAGTCCGGTGGGCCGAGCTGTGAAGTATAACATCGTGGGTGTGGGGAATCTGATTGGGCCACAGCTCTACATCACCACGAACGGGGCGGTCTACATCCTGTTTGGCTTTGGTAAGAAGCAAGGCTGGTCCTTGTCCCTATTGCCCATTGTCACCGCTGGGTCAGAGGGAGACAGGATGGAAGCTCAGAAACTGCTCACACCATCCTTTCGTCACGTCCTCCTCTCATTCTTGCCACCTGATGCAGGTGGAGGCAGCCCTCCATGCCTTCCCCAAGGAGCAGGCCCCTGTCCAGCGCCTGTCTCCCCAGCTCCCACCCACTCCATGGCCGGGGGGCTCCATCAGGTCATCTCCTCAAGCTCTGTGTCTCGCTCAGAGCCTCAGGCGGAGGTTGGTGTCTGAAAGCTGCCTTCTCAGCCTGGGCTTTTTTGTGGTGCTAGGTAATATCCAAGCTGTCGCCCTGCGGGACATTTTCATTCAGGCCCAAAACCGAGACAGCCCACCACCTTCCCTGCAGCTGGAGGAGCCCGAATGGGAGAAGCGGAGATCCATCAACCTGTCGGAGCTCATTGACGTCTACGGGTAGGGCAGGCGCCTATGCCTGTGCCAGGGGCTCTCTTGGCTTGGTTGGGCTGGTTAATATGGGGGCAGAGGTGTGCAGGTCTTAATATACCATCTCGCAATCTGGGTAACGGAAGGGAGAAGTTCTTTCTTGGTCACCACGCTGTGAGATCACTTTGTAGAATTTCCCAGTCGGTGTGGGGAGAAGATGACTGGGAGTCAGAGAGGTTTCTGTAAAGTCGCTCTTGGTAAAGCCATGCTGAGGTGTCTGCCCTCATGGCTTCCCTCCGTTATGGGTACATTTTCTCTTATTACAGCATCATTGTGGCCGAACCAAAGGCAGCAGCCGTGGAACCTTATTTGTCTTCCTTACCTGTTCCTTAACTCAAACCGTGTAGCTTCTTAAACACGGTCGGTTTTACCAATGGAAATCCAGGTCTACACCATCATTTTCTGTCCTTTCCTATCAGAAATTTCAGACCATTCATTCCTCTGGTTTTTTAGCAGGATCATGTCGCTGTGGATTTGACAGATACCGAGCAGAGCGGTCCTTTTGTACAGATTCTCTGATGAGTGTAACTGCAAGCAGCTGTCCAAACTAGCCGACGATTTCAGGCCCGCTGTGTGGTGGTCGTGGCTTAACCTCCACCTGCCCCTGGCTCCGCTGCCTCTCTGAGTATCCTGCGGGAGAGGGAGGGCACCTTAGCACCTCTCCAGAGTTCCTTTTGAACGTGCCTGGAATGAGCTAGGGATGCTTGGCTTCTAAGGGTCCGGAGAACGAGATTCAGTTGGAGGACAGCATCCCCCGCTCTTGATAGACAACACTGGGAAGCCCGTGTGGGAATGCAGACAAACATGCACACTGTGGGGACAAGTAGTTCCGGGTCCCACCCCAGTCAGAGACTAACTGCTGGGCCCTGCTTGCTTCAGCGATGGTGTGGAGCTCCTCCAGATGGTGAAGGCCCCGGACGCCAACTGCAGCGACCTCCTGATCACCACGAGACAAGGCCTCGTCTTACTTCGGGGGCAAGATCTTACACCTTACTGGACACTGAGCCTTCCAGGCCTGCACAGGTTGGCACATCTGCTGTTTGAGCCACTGCCTGTGCTTCCAGAATGCCTGTGAACGCTTGTCTGGTATCGGGCGGGGGCCAGAGAAAGGAGGGTGAGAGGTCCTTGTGTGCCCGCTTCCCTGCTCACTGTTGATGTCGCATTCTGCCTCCTTTGCAGCCAGCCGACCCCTGGGTATTTCACTGATGACCAGACCGTGGACTTCCTTCTGCAGACCCAGGGCGGAGTCGGCATGAAGAAGGTAACCCCTGGGCACTCGAGTCCAGCAGCCCAGGCCTGCAGGACACCCTCGCGTGCTGCCCTTTGATAGGCCTGCAGAGGACAAAGAGCCTAAAACACAACCCTTTCCCTCAAAGAACTCAATGCCTGGCGAGGTGGATAAAATGGAAACTTAAAGGAAAATAGAATAACCATTCAGGTCTATTGCGTTGGAAGTTTTTCTGGGATAACCTCCTTCCCATGCAGGGGTTTCTTTTTTGAGATAAATAATTTACTCTTAAACACAAAACAAGAAACCTGCTGCCATCAAATCGATTCCAGCTCACAGCAGCCCTTTGTAAGGTTTCCCCGGTTTATAAACCTTTATGGGAGCAGACAGCTTTGGCCTTCTGCAGAGCTGCGGGTGGGTTTGAACCACCGACTCTGGCGCGTTGTCCAACACTTATCCAGCAATGGCACTAGGGCAGTTTTACTTCCTATGAGGCCTTGTAACATCTCTTGGTGACGAAAAGCAAGCCTGAGTAAATGAAATGCTGGCGTCCACCTTGAGGAGGTCAGAGAAGCCTGGCCATCTGTGGTGGCAAGGGTGGTGGTGGGAGACTTCATGAAGGCGAGTGGCGGGGCGAGCAGGGCCTTCGACGTTCAGTGCTAGAGGAGGAAGAGACGGAAGGAAGGATGTGCTGGCCGGAACCATCCGGACTGGAGACCCCGAGACAGAGCGGCGGCGTTGTCTTTGGTGCTCCCGGGAGGGTCGAGGGGAAGGGAGGGGGTGTAGGTTGGGCAGAGTCGGCAGGCTGAGCCTTTCAGAACCAGCCTGTAATCTTGGTCAAATGACGTAATCTCGCCACTTCTGCATCGATCACAGAGGGATAACAATATCGCTCACCTTCAGACGGCTGTGGTGACAGCTGAATGAAATAATCTGGGTAACCAAAACCAGAGCCGCTGCCGTCCAGTCGGTGCTGACTCATAGTGGCCCTATGGGGCAGGGTAGAACTGCCCCTGTGGGTTTCTTTACGGGAGTCGAGGGTCTCATCTTTCTCCCGCGGAGTGACTGGTGGTTTCTAACTGCTAACCTTGTGGATAGGAGCCCAGTGCGTAACGATGAGGCCCCCAAGGCTCCCGTGTGTGTGACAGCGTGTCATTTTGTACTGTGGTATCACTAGACTCCAGCCTCTGCCAAGACTGCCGGGGGAATCTTGAAATTGCTGGTCTGCTTTTCATTCTCTGCTCGTTCAGACGTTTTTCTCTGCCAGGTGGCACCGAAGGCTCTGAGCCTCCTTTCGCTTACCCGTTGAAGGTTGAAGATAGGGGAGGCGGGCTCATGAGTCATCATGGCCCCTTCGCACTCCAGAGTTCTGTACTTTTTCACTTCTCTTACCAGAGAACAAGAGCTGCAGAAATTTGGACCTGGTCCCTAGCCTTATACTACTTTCTGAGCACCCAGTTAGCTTACATCTGAGAAGTTCCGCCTGTCAACACGTGTATTATTCCAGTGTCTGTGTTTGTTTCGTTCTGTTTGTGTTTGGAGGGGTGTGCGTGTTCATGATCCGGGCCTCTTGCTTTCCCGAGGACTGACTGTGCCCACTGTCTTCTGTCCTGCAGATGATGGTGGTCGATGGCTACTCTGGCTCTGTCGCCTGGAGCTACAGCGTCCAGTGTCACATGAAAGAAATGCCAACCAGCTCAGCAGTCACTTCGGACCAGAAGTCTGTCTTCCTCTTCTGGGCGGAAGGGCTCTCGGCTGAGTCTCGCAAGCCTGTGAGTGCGGCCGCCTGGAGTGTGTTCACTTGGTCAGAGGGCAGCCGCCCTGCAGCCTGGCCTGGGCCTGGGTTGGTGTTTGACCAGCTGTGCTTTCGAGTGGTTACAGCTGGAAATCAGAACAGCACTCGTGGGAAAAGCAGGCGTCTTGCCTCCTCCTGAGCTATCCCTACATGCCTTTGCCCTTCCCCGGGCAAGCGAGAAGGTGGGACTCCCTTTTACTTTGGCCGGTGCGGGAGGTGACCTTCATCAAAGGTGACATTCCAGTTGGCGTCGAAGGACAGCAAGGGTTTCAGTGTGTGGAGATGTCGCTCTGGAGGACGGTGAGGCTGTCTAAAGGGGAACTCATCTGACCAGCCGAAGGCAGAGTGCGCAGTGTGGGGCAGGTGAGGTGGATAAAGCTGGCAGCCCTGGCCTTCCTGCCGGGACCGTGGCCTCCGTTCTGTAGGCAGTGAGGGGGGGGGGGGGTTGGCTCTTGTCTAAGGTGACCAGACGTCCCGATTTTTAACAATTTTTCCTGCGTCCCGCAGCGTTTTAAAAAAGTCCCTAATTTTTGGAAAGAATGCACGACAAGCTAGGGTCTACGGTTTTCGGCTGCCATGTGGCTATTTCGCCAGGATATGAGTTTTATCAATGGTGTCACACCCTCGCGTGCTGCCCTTTGATAGGCCTGCAGAGGACAAAGAGCCTAAAACACAACCCTTTCCCTCAAAGAACTCAATGCCTGGCGAGGTGGATAAAATGGAAACTTAAAGGAAAATAGAATAACCATTCAGGTCTATTGCGTTGGAAGTTTTTCTGGGATAACCTCCTTCCCATGCAGGGGTTTCTTTTTTGAGATAAATAATTTACTCTTAAACACAAAACAAGAAACCTGCTGCCATCAAATCGATTCCAGCTCACAGCAGCCCTTTGTAAGGTTTCCCCGGTTTATAAACCTTTATGGGAGCAGACAGCTTTGGCCTTCTGCAGAGCTGCGGGTGGGTTTGAACCACCGACTCTGGCGCGTTGTCCAACACTTATCCAGCAATGGCACTAGGGCAGTTTTACTTCCTATGAGGCCTTGTAACATCTCTTGGTGACGAAAAGCAAGCCTGAGTAAATGAAATGCTGGCGTCCACCTTGAGGAGGTCAGAGAAGCCTGGCCATCTGTGGTGGCAAGGGTGGTGGTGGGAGACTTCATGAAGGCGAGTGGCGGGGCGAGCAGGGCCTTCGACGTTCAGTGCTAGAGGAGGAAGAGACGGAAGGAAGGATGTGCTGGCCGGAACCATCCGGACTGGAGACCCCGAGACAGAGCGGCGGCGTTGTCTTTGGTGCTCCCGGGAGGGTCGAGGGGAAGGGAGGGGGTGTAGGTTGGGCAGAGTCGGCAGGCT